TCAGCCCCCCTTCTCCCTGTCCCGCAGAAGCAGTCAGGAAGGCACCTGTGACACCCATTCCCCCAGCCCCCACTGCCGACTTGGTGCCCCACAGTCTCCTGCTCATGCTCCAGCCCTGGAAGTGCACAGATGACACTATGGAGATCATCATCGCCAGGTCCCACCTGGAGGTGAGGGGTGGCGGGTCTCCTGCTCCCCATCAGCATCACTTGGGGACGGCTGCATCCTGCTCTGGTGCTCAGGGACTTAGGGACCTAGAGAGTGGCATGGGGCCATTTGTAGCTGATGGCTGACTGCTGAGTGCTTTTCTCCCAGCCGATCAAGGACGTGGTGAACATCACCCTACGGGACATCAGCTGCCAGGCAGAGAAAAACGCCACTCACTTCATGCTGAAAACCCCCCTGAGCCACTGCGGCACCTCGCTGGAGGGCAGGGGCCACGCCAACAACGAGGTGAGGAGGGGGCCAGCCAGGGCGCTGCCCCCAGCCCCACTGATGCCCCATGAGTGCTTCAGTGATGCCCAGTGGGGCTTCTCCACTGGGACCTGCTTGATTTTGCATGGTTGGAAGCATCTTGCTGCAGCCCAGAGCTGAGCCTGGAGATGGGGGTGTGTGGGTGGGACCCCCCAGGACCCCCCCATCCCATCCCATCCCATCCCATCCCATCCCATCCCATCCCATCCCATCCCATCCGGGACAACAGACCATGGCAATGGGTACCACTTGGCTGACCCAACCTTCCCCTCCTTCTTGCAGCTCATCCTCAACCTGGCCAGGGGCACAGTGTTCCGGAGCGTACGGGTAAGAGCTGGGTTTCCTGGCAGGTCCAGGGGTGGCACCGTGGGAGAAGGGTGCCGGTGCTGCTGCCAGCTGGATTCTGGGTGCTGGAGGGGGATGTGGCCTCAGCACCGTGCCTGCTTGCAGGTGGCCTTCCAGTGCAATATCCCGCGGGAGCTCTTCCTGCGCCTCTTCCCCACTGCTGCCTTTGAGGTGCCGCAGACGGAGCTGGTGGTCAACAAGGAGGCCTTTGTGCAGGTACTGCCACCGCCTTGGTGCCTGGGCTCGGGCTTGGTCCAGCTGTCCCCAGGCTGGTGACCCTGACGGTGTCCCCCCCCTTCAACAGGCGTCCATGCGGTGGGAGGACCACCCGGCCGACCTGC